AAATTGGTAAGATTAATGTACCTTTCTAATTGTGGTAAAGTTTAATGATTAATTTGTGTTTGATTGTCATTGGCAGTTTTAACATTGTTTAAATAGCCCTTAAAAATGCCCTTAAAAGATTTTTTTGAAAAAATAAGTAAATAAAATTGTTTGGAACCCAAGCATATTGTGTTTATTATTTTCTACATCTTTACAGTCTATCACACAACAGAAAAGAGATAATTTATACTTGCATATACTTATAAAAAGTAAACATGTATGAAATATTTGCAAATCTAGCACATTTTGTTAATAACAATTTACATTCAATCACAACTTTAAAAAAATGAATAAATTTGTTTTGCAAATCGTTCACATCACGTTTATTACTTTTTACACTTAATCACACATTACCGATTAGAAGTAATTTGTCGTAAAAAAAACCAGAGGAAAATTGCCTGTTTACGTGTATGGCCATTGTAAAATCACAATTGGATAAACCTGACCTTGAAAAAATAAGCAAGATCTTTTATAAAAGTGAGATGTCAGCTTTAAAAAAAACCATTGATCTGATTGTTGCTTGAAAAACATAATTTTTGTTTAAGTACTGCATGCTAGGAAAGGCCGTATATTAGTGGTCACGTTGTTAAATGATCTTTTTACACAACAGAGATTTAATTCTTGCCCCTTTATTAACCTCAATAACGATTTGCTACTATAGGATTCACAATTGTCACACTGAACTTGCATTTTTTAAACCAAATTTTCTTCTATTTGGACTGTTGCAGATTGAAGTTCACCTTTTGTTGTGGTTCTTATATTATACATACAACACACACTTTTTGTTGTGGTCCTTACAATTTATTTTATCTCCGGATAAAGTATTTATTTTATCTCTGGATAAAATAGTGTTTTTGATTCACCAACTGCAAGTTGAGAGTTCAGCTTATGTAAGTTGTAGTTAAGAATGACATTGGTAAAATCTGATGTATTTTCAGATGATTTTTATTGCGAATTTGTTTTTAAATCGGGAAACATCTGGAGGGTCCCCTGTCTAGAGGGGGGTAGATTTTTTAAGGACCCCTCACCGGA